CTCCTCTACATGCAATAAAAAAAAGAAGTTAGGATGTCATTCTTGTCCAATATTTTTCTCCTTTTGTATAATTTACCACGTTATCAATTAAATTGTCATGAGCTTATACTCACAATATTTGTTTATATTGACTATGAGAATTAAACCGATATGGAGAACATGACTGTTTTACTGTTTGTTTTGCTTGAATTTAATCTGATAACACTCCTCAAAAATGGCACAATCACCCTTTAACATGCCACCGAAATCGGATTTTCGTTGGTATACGAACTTAATGTAGGCCGAAATATAAAAGATTCACACAAGGATTTTTGTTTTTGAGACAGATTATACCTGATCTTCCAAATTATGTTGCATTTAACCTCAGAAAGGATCACTCCAACTACACTATCATCAAGTAAGCCATTTAAGTACTGAGACAATTCATCATTAAAAGCAAGAAAAAATCGTCCGTGGACAGAGTCCTCCTATTAGATTACGCCAAATAGGAGATCACTGACAAGAAACGAAAGGGAAAAAAGATGGAAGGCGAATGCAGTGTAATCACAGAGTAATGAAGTAATCTCATGCATTCACTTTAGGACTGAAACACTGAAACCATCTCGAAGCATTCTGAATTCTCTAACCAGAAAGAAGAGAAAACACAAAGAAGACTTGGGGGTGGGAGTTTTCAAATTTTCTTTCTTGCACTTTCTTCACTGCCAAACGGATCAGGAAAGTGCAAGAAAATAAATTACAGACAGCTTACATGAATCAGAGTGTCCTAAAATTAAAACCTAAATCTGAATATATAGCTAAAAATAGATTGATTCATACAGCCATAGCTGAAGATATCATCTAAGAGTTCCCTAGTCGAAGTTCCAAATCCAAATCCTCCTTTCCATTAGGGAGCAAACCCATCTCCAAGTCCAAGCTAACAATTTCTCTTTTCTTCCAAACCCTATAATCATTTTCTTCTGAAAACCCTGTCAACTCTCCAACCCCAACAAAAGCTCCCTTGCTTGGCTTTTTGTTAATATTTTTGTCGTGAGGCCTTATGGGATGATGCTGAGAAACTGCAATGAGCGGCATCTTTTCTTCGTCCATCGAGGCCAAGGATGGCGAAGAGAAAGAAGTCAGAGATGGTGTAAGAGAGGAACTGTAAGCCATGTATGGCAAGAACCTAGCTGCATGAGAAGATGATGAAAAATTAGGGTTGGGGCTGGGGCTAGGGTTAGGGCTAGGGTTAGGATTATTAGGACAATCCCATGAAGGTGACTGTCTCAACCTGGCCCTATCTCTCCTATGAATGTTCATGTGACCCCCAAGAGCCTGAGCAGACTTGAACTCTTTCTTGCAAAAGCTGCATTTGTAGTTTCTTTGAGGCCATGAAAACCCATATGTACGATCTCTTTCAAAGCTGTAGTTGGTACTGTCCCATGTATCTTTGAACTTGTCCCTGTTCAAGTTCACTTTCTCCATAGACTCTTGTTCTTCAAACAAGATCCAAACACCAAGAACTAACAACCAACCCAGATCAACGAAATAAAAGAAACCTCTCCCAAGGAGAAACACAAACAGATAGAGAGTTCAAATTATCTGAAAACCATAGTAATGTTGGTGGTACGGGGTTGGGGTTTTTAAGAGGAACTATGGAAGTGCACTATCAAGGATAGATTTGTGGTGAATAGTATAGTCAAATTTCAGTGAGTGTACAAGTAAATATTCACCTGATCAGATGTCTGTTACCATAAGTAGAGATTACTTAGCAAATGAATGTACAAACTTGGCCATCCAGTGCGGTTCCTTTTTGCCATATTTGGGTGGGATCTAGTGGATGTTCAACACTCTTTGACGTCATTACGCGTCTTAAGTAACTTTTGCCAATTGTATCAGTTTAAAGTTTAAACCACCGTGCGTGCGGGATGGCAGCGGATCGGGAAAAAATAGGTATTCGTCTAATTTTATTTTGTTAGAATTCAGAATAGATCATACGTATTGAACGGTAGATATATATAAGAATATCCGTATAAATCAATATAAAAATAAAGACAGGGATATCCGTATAATATCAATAAAAATAAAGACAGGGATATCCGTATAATATCGATATAAATCAATTTTTTTTTTATGATTTTGGTTTGTAAAAGTGTACATCTCTGTGTTTTTATATTTTTTTATATTGGATTATGTTATGTTACATTATATTGTGTTACATGATATTGTGTTAGATTTACAAGGAAGACAAACTTTTAGTTATATTATGTTGGATTATATTGTAGACAAAATTTTAATTATGTTGGATTATGATATTTTATAATTATGTTGGCTTATTTAAAATGTTAGATTTATTTAAAATTTTAGATTATGTTAGCTTGAGCTTGGGCAGGTAAGATGGATGGGGGTGGGGGTGGGGGTGGGGGGTGGAGGCGGAGATGAAAGTGGGGGACAGAGCGGGGGGCGAAAATTACAAATTTACCCGCAAATGGAGATCGGAATGAAAACTATATCCATTAAAGGGGATGGACTGGAGATGGATGAAATTTTTTTAATCAGGTACGGGAATGTAGACTACACCCCTTGCCCCCACTTCGGTCCACTGTCATCTCTAACCGTGTGGCACCGTGTACACATTTAAACCTAAAAATTTGATCTCACTCGTTAATACAAGGATGTGATATTAATAGAATAAATTTTAGTATTTGATGAGGTTCATAGTCAATTCAAAGATTATAATGAATTAACTCAACAAATGAAGTCAAACTTTTAAATCCAAATAACATTACTCGCCATAAAAATAACTTATGGAACACGGGAGTTTAGTTTTTTTAAAAACAATTTTGACGAGGTGATTAGTAACAGCTATTCATTGGACATGCACAATTTTTATGGATAAATTACACTCAAATCTCTTAAAATTTATCACTTAATCACATAGATTCACTTAAGTATGAAAAATAATATCACAATCCCTCAAGGTTTGGTCCTATTTAACACATAACCCCAATTCATTAATGTTCATTCGTCATTCCGTCGAACCCTTATCATGTCAACATAGAGTAATGCTACATTGACCAAATTTTGGGACTAAATTTAGAGCCCAAATGACATGACATTTGATTATTTGAAGTTTTTATTGGGACTCAAATGACATAACATCAATCAAAGAAATTCAAATCAACTGCTATGTCATTTGGGTTCCAAATTTGGTCCAAAAATTTGGTCAATCTAGCATTACTAATCAACATATCTTCTTCGTAAAATTCCCAAACTACCCATATCTCACTCAAAAATAAAAAATAAAAAACCCAAAAACTATTTAATCTCTTTAAAAATCCAAAAATTAAATATCATATTCTTTCTTAGCACACACTACCCACTGTCACAAACCACACAACCATCCACCTCAACAGATGCACACAACACCACCCATCCGCCTCCACCGCTGCACAAAACCACACCAACATCTGCCTCTCGTAGTCTCAAAATCACACAATAAACCCTAATTAATGTTGTTTCAAGTCCGAGACAAGAGGCAATTGTGAGAGGGAAATTTTGGTAACTACAACTTAAATTAAGAAAATATCTTGTATTTTGGGAGACATTTTGGTCTTTTAATCATTTTCATTGGCTCCGTTATTTGATCTCCACCCATAAGGGCTCTAAGTGTAATATTTCACACGTGAATGTGTTTATGTGATTAAGTGACAAATTTCAAAAAATTCGGATGTAATTTATCCATTTTTATTGGTGGTGTTTTAAACCCCTTGAAAAATGAGCAACGTTATTTAGACCTAATTTTTATATTTATTAGATTAATTGTAAGTTTTATCAAATATTAGAATTTACTGTTAATTTAATGGTTATAATAAAATTACATTATTAAGTCAATAAATTAAGTCAAATTTTTAATCTAAATAATAATTCTCTTAAAAAAAATCTCCGAGGGTATGTCGTAGGTGTGGCTTGTAATTCCACTTAGATTTAATTTACAAATTTAATAATAATTCCATTTAATTTACAAATTTAATTCAACGTAACTATTACATTTAATATTAAAATTTATAACTAATTCAATAGTTATATTAAATTAAATCCTTAATTAAGTATTCAAATTATATCTCTATAGCATTGTCCTCTAATTATAGTTATTGACCAATTTTGGTATCACATCATGTACAAGGTCATTGGGTCAGCCTATTAATTTAGATTTTTAGTTGCCAATAATATTATTCTCACTTCTTATTTTGTAGTTTACCTAAAAAGATTTAGCTGATAAACTTTAGTACCTATATATGATACGGATTTGATTAAAAATACAAATATAATTAGCCAAAAAAAAAAAAATTGACACGTAAAACCAACATGACAAAATCTATTGGCATTCCTAATTAGTGTTTCTCATGCAGTAATCTGATGGTTAGAATTAATCTGTAAACTTATGCAACATTGTTCATTGAAACAACAAAGTTGTAGATGTACGTTTAAACCCTACCAGCATGCCATATTGTTCACCACCATGTATCTGATTAACAAGTACATGGTGAACATTTCCTTAAGATTAGTTTAAAGCTTCTGCAGCCTTGAAAATAATATATTTTATATTTAATTACCCCTACATACATGATTACCAGATAAAATTAAAACAACAATTTTCCTAGGATGTCTTTCACCAATTAAAAAGTAAGGGATTGTATAGCAAATTGGAAAGTTCTGATGTTTCTGCTGTAGGGAAAAGGCAGTTTCTTTCGAAGATTGCAGCGCACACAGCAACTGCAAGTTCAAAAACGCTAGAAACAGCTGTTGATCGGTGTAAACTGATGCTGAAACAAGTGCAGACGAACAAAATAGAAATGAGTTCAGCTACAACTTCTAAATAGAATCCCATTCGAAATAGTTCTGCTACAGCTAGAAAGATAGTCGCATAACATAATTTAGATCAATGACCTACCTTATGGGTCATCTTCAAATTGAGGAGAATGTTTTTGCAAGTAATTAGACAAATCCATGACAAGCAAGTACTATTCAGCACGCGGCAGTAAGAAACTAAAGCCAGAATTTTCCCGAATAAGAGGTGGCGGCTCAATGTCTGAAATATCGATGTGATCCATTGATTTGGATAGGTCATCAACTGAGAATGGGATGCTAAACCACAAGAGATAGGAAAGTCAGCGGCCAATAAAATACAAGAGATCTAGCCAAGGGGCAAACAATGGCACAAAATAGAGAAACAAACACAGGACAGCAAAATTAGCCAATCAGGTCATAGAATCTCGTCTTTAACCTCGAATCATCATCCAGAAGGAATGAACTGCTGACAGCATTATTTGAATCTTCAGCCATTAACACTCTCATGTTGGATATAACCTGTAAATTTGCAGACCCACCATCACAAAAGTCAATACGCGCGAAACTCAAACTTCATGATCAATCTTTCAACAATGTTTCGAAGTTTCTACAATCATTTTATTCATCTTAAGATAACTCTTAAGATGATATTATCCTTATTTAATTCTAGTACAAGGTCCTTATAATCCACCTTCCTATAAGAAAATTTCATCCTAGAAACTTTATCGTCGACTTAGTCTATCTAATTCCAATTAACCACCGCTCTAAATGTAAAATCACCCTGAGAAAATTACAAAAGGAAGAAAAAGAAGAACATAGTCATCGACTTTGTTATTGAACTTACACATTGCTTACAAAATTGTCACCAACCTATGCACCATTTATATCAAATGATTTCAAGGCTTACTCTCTAATCTACCAGCAGCAATACTTAATGCAGCTGATACATTAGATGCCTTATATTAGAACGTTGTGGGAACATTACAAACAATGAAACTATAACCTGCTTAGGAGACTTCGATTGAAACTTACATCAGGGGAAAGGCTATGTGTGCCATACTTGTCATCCCAGTACATTGTGCTGATTCTGTAGAGCTGTTGAATGCTTAACACCTGTGCATGATTAACAATTTAAACATTCTGGAAGAAGTGTAGGTTGATTAATTGGTTTTTTGTAGGCACTGCAAAGGCAGTACTTACTGGGCACAGGTCATGACTTATTTCATCCAGTGTCTTCTTCGGCTTTTGATGTATGACCTAAATCAGGAACGTAAGAGATTAGAACTGCATTTACAGATAGCTGACATCTGGACAAATAGAATCCAGTTTTCCAATTTCTTGTGGATGTTTGCTTCAGTTTCTTTGGTTAATTCTGATATACACTTCAATCACCCAGCAAATACATATACTTTTCAAATATTTTGGGTGGTTTCACACTCCAAGAGTAGCTTTTGGAACCACACCATTTAATTTTAACACAGTGAAACCCAAAAAATTGCCCTCTCTTTCCAGAATTGTTAGTGATATATTTCATCTGATGAAAAATATCACACCAAGTAGAAAAAGCTATTGATGCGGCAACATCTTTTTACAATGGATATTTTCTAGGAAACAGAGCTAATTAAAGAGATGAATGCAAGAACCATATACTAATTTAAGTTTAATGGTGATGTTTCATACTTTATATACAGGAGTCGGGAGCACATGGAGTCATCAAACACAATAAAAGAATTTGCCATCTCACTGGCAAACAAGTGGGGGTTTCGCTGAAGGCTTTGATTACCATTACAGTTCCATGCCCATGAAATTTTGCCGTCAGATATGTGGTTCCATTTGTGTTTGATGGAAAGCCTTATAACGGTGGAAGGCTCGATTGCTTCCAATTGCCAAAAAAGATGGAATTGCATAAACTAATTTTGGAACGCCAATAACATAACCATTATTGGGTTTTATGTACCTTTATGGTTCAACTTCTTTCCACAGAAATATGCCTCCATTAAAGAAGAAAACTCGGAAAAAATAAACAAAACATAATTAAGGGGACAAGGAGTTGGAATCTTTTTAGGCATTGAACAGAAAATGGATGCAATACCAGAAACCCAATAGCCTGTCTTATATGCTTGAGCTCATCCCAAGCTGAACCTGCATACTGAATTTGTTTTCTTTCTTTAGTCATGAACTGCATAGAGAATTACTGGGTCAACCAGAATCAAAACAAGGTTACCTCATCAGTTGCCTTGTAGCACCAATGTTCCAATTCAGCTAATCCTGCTTTGACATATTCGCCGTTACTAAATGAGCAGCATTCTCGTCTTAGTAGAAGGCTGCAACCAAGAGGTGTAAATATCAAAGGAAACAACTTTAATACAGAGAGTGTATACACATATGCGCACAAACCTGTTGAATAATTGCACATTGATGAAAGAAAATATTTGTGTGAATTCTTTGCGAATCAAAAATGGGGGAACCTGAAAAAAGAAGATACAAGGTTGAAGTATATCAAGTTAAATGCATCACCAAAAAAAAAAAAACAGAAAAAAGAAAAAGGAAGACATTATGCTACAAACGTACAACCAAAAAGGATCACATTATACAACAAACACCTAACGACATATCTAGGAATTGCCCACTATGTTTGAAACTTGGGAATATCTAGGATGGAAACGATAAGTAACTGTATTCATCAACTTATATTCAAAGTATTAGGTAAAAATCAAGAGTCAATTTGTGTTAAAAAAAAAAACAGTCAATTAGAAAATCCAGCAGAAATACATCATCTCTACAATTCTAAAAACTCAATTGGTATAGTATTGGAAGTTATTTAGTCCATTGACAAGTTGGGAAAAGATTTTTATTTTATGAAAAATAGGAGAATGTTTCAATTGTTGTCGGATTGGCAGTTCACTCATACAACAAAAGCTAATTTTTCTTCAACACAGTTCAAAATGAGAATTAGGGCCCCAAGTGGCCGCGAAATTTTGACTAACCATGAAAATATAGGAACACTTCTGTAGGTTTACAAGTATGTTAACTATTATCTCATTAACTCCCACCATTGTAACAGCTATCGCAATTTTTGGGGAAATTACAAATCTATGATATATGTTGGCCTTCTAGGCCAAATGTATCTGGTTGTTGGACTATCAAATTTACTGGGGGAGTTTTAGTCCTCTGGTGCTCAGCAACAAATCAAACTGATATTTACAGTTGAGTTTGCAAACCAGTTGGAAGCTGGCATTTTACTTAGAATTCAGATTATTATTCCTAAATTCAGTTTAGACATCTCTAACACAAGTTGTCACCACTTAAGGTGAACCAACGAAGCATAGAGGGATAATTAGCACAATGGGGGAAAATAATAACAAGAAAAATGAACATTTCAAAAGATGATGATCAGAAAACTGCATTAAACTTGCAATTTTAGAGATTATTATTTCACTGACTGTAATATTATAATGCAAAAGATTCAATTCCAGGAACTAGTACTACGTTAACTATTTAAATCATAAAAAAAGTTGATAAAACGGCATAATAATGTAATAATTCTATACTGGTTCTTGACGCCACTGACAAACATTGCCAGATTTTGTTGACAGCTTGAAAATTTTGTCATGTAGCTTCCAGAAAGTTGTGTTCATTAACTTATGCTCATAGCATTACGATATGCAAAGTTAGAAAAAGGGAAAAATAAGGTTGGCGACATATTCAAAGGTGACCAACTATGTCCAGAAAAGAACATCAAGCCATAAACCATGCAAAGGAAAATTTAAAACAATACTGGAGAAACTACTATATCATAGACATTTCACTTACATGATTTGTTTTCAGCGTGCTCAGGAAATTTCCAAGACTCTTCACGATACCTTGCCAATGAGCAATGAGAATCTCCTGAGCAGCAGCATTTGCCAATGTACGTGCTATCCCCTTAGCTAAGCTAGCTCTTGAAATTCTTGGTGCCTACAGTTGAAATAATAAATAGAATATTAGAGTTAGACAAATGAGAGAGAAAAGACAGAGAGGAGAAGAAGCAGCCGGAGAAAGTAATCAGTTGTGTGAGCAGTGTTGCCCAACATTCTCTTATTTATGTTCTCTTAATTACAATATTATCCTACATAAATAGAAAACATAGAAATAAGAACTCTAACACTCCCCCTCAAGCTGGAGCATAAAGATAAAAAATGCTTAACTTGGAACAAAGATTATTGAAGATACCACAAGACAATGGTTTGGTAAAAATATCACCTAACTGATCACCAAACTTAGCATATGGAGTAATAATCTCCTTTTATATTAGGAGATCTTGAATAAAATAACAATCCACTTCTATGTGTTTCGTGCGCTCATGAAATACTAGATTACTGACAATGACAATAGCAGCCTGATTATCACAATGACAAAGGAGAAGGCACACTAATCCCTATATCACGAAGTAGAGAACACACACATTTCACACGCCGTGTGAGCCATAGCCCGATACTCCTATGCACTTGAACGTGCAACTACATTTTGTTTTTTACTACGCCAAGTAACAAGGTTACCACCAACAAACGTGCACTAACCAAAAGTAGATCGTCTATCAGTACCACTATCTACCCAGTCAGTATCAGAAAATCCAGTAATAGTCACACATGGTAAAACCGATATAATAATTATTTCCCAAGTGCACCTTTAAGATACAGAAGGATACGACAAACACTATCCCAATGACGTTTGCGAGAAGCATGCATAAACGGACTAACAACACCATCTACAAAAGTAATATCTGGACGTATATTAGCTTACCAACAAACCTTTGATAACGCACTATGTTATCAAAAACTTCTCCACTCTCACCATCTAACTTGACTGTAGAATCCATCGGGGTATCAACAGGATGAGCACCAAGAGTACCAGTTTCATATAGCAAATCCAAAACATACTTTCGTTGCCAAAAATTGATACCTTCCTTTGACCGAGCAACCTTAATCCCAAGGAAGTACCGAAGAAAACTCAAATTTTTAGTGTGAAACAACTTCCCCAAAAGAGCTTAAAAATGGCAGTACCATCAGAATCATCATCACTAATAATAATGTCATAAACATATACAATAAGAATGATAACCCCTCGGATAGAACGATGAATAAAAACTGAATGATCTGAAATACAGTGTTGAAAATCATACTAAAGGACCACAATACTAAACTTATCAAACCAAGCACGTGGTAACTGTTTTAAACCATATAGTGTTTTTTTCAAGCGACAAACTAATTATTCCTTACCAAATATAACATAAACTGGGGTTGAACTATGTATCCCTCTTGTAAATCTCCATGTAAAAAGGCATTCTTTATGTCCAGTTGGTACAAGGGCCAATCACGACAAGCTATAATCGAAATAAAAACTCTAAGAACAACTCCAAGGATGCTAGTTAAAATAACTAGTCAAAATATATTTTTATATTACACTCTCTATTTTAAAGAGTCACTTGTATTAGTTCATTCTACCTAGTTCATTCCAACAACGTTCTCTATTTTAAACAGTGCTATCAGAACTGGACCGGACTGGCCGGTCAGACTGGTTCAACCGTGAACAGGGACCCTAACCGGTCTGGTTCCTTAGTTGAACCGCTTAAAGAAGCGAACCGGCTAAAAACAGAAAAATCGGCCGGTTTTTAACAAAAACTGTGAACCAGTGGTTTTATAAAAACCAGACGGTTTAATGCCCATTTAAAAATTAAACAATTTAAATAAATTAAATCAATATTTTTGGTATTTGGGGCTTTTTTTTGCCCTAAATCAATAAATCACAACACCATCACCATCAGGCTCTAGCGACTAGGGAGTCTTTGACTACGATCAGCCACTGCTCCAGCAACCAGGCTCTAGGGATCTTCAATTGTGATCAGCGACCAGCGACATCAGGCGATTGCGATCAGCAAACTCAGGCGACCGACGAGGAACTCCAGCGGCTGCAATCAATGCTTATTGCTTCTGTCAGACTGTAAATTAAGATAAAAAAGGTAAAAACTTCCTTTCATTAGTTCATATCTCAGTAACCAAAACTAAAATCCACTGTTTCAAGTTGGGTAGTTGATTTCATTGGTTTTGAGTAAAAATTAAATGGTCGGTGCTGCATATATGATTGTAAACAAAAATGGTTAGTGCTTCTATCAGACTGGATTTCATTGGTTTTGACTCTTGACTCTTGGTTTTGATTTCATTAGTTTGAATATTTTCTTGTCACACGATTTAATAAAACTAAATGTTGAAGATAACTTGCTTTGATCTTGATTGCTCATTTTTTATGTACAATTATTTGATTAGCATCTACTAACATGGTTCAAAGTTGTGGTATCGGCCATCGACTCAGAGAGCACTGATACACATCGATCGCGGCGTCGCAGTGCGATATCGACCGATACGCTCAAAATGCTAGATAGAAGCTCCAAAATTTTTTAAAAAAATATAAAAAATTCTAAAAAAATAGAAACATCATCATTCATGCATCATATGTCTATAATATATCAAAAAACATATTAAAAATAATTAAAATGAAACATAAGCACGCTACCGAAAATAATTATCATTATGAATGTTTAAGGTAAGCACTTAAGAAATATTATCATTATTATTGTCTCTAAGATAATACAAATTGGGATAATTTCCACCATAAGGTTAATAATTTAGCATTTGATTTAAAATAGAATACTTAAAATATTTATTTAAAAAATAAATAATCTAAATATCTAACTATTACATTAAATATTTTAATGATTTATTAAATAGTAAATTTAATCTAAGTAAACCTAGGCAAAAAAGGAACCCAAAAATCAATTAGCCATAAATAAAATAAATTAACCACACTATGTTAATAAATTAATCACTCTAAAGTAAAATAAATTAACCACATTTTAATAAATTACTCATACTAAGTAAATTAAATTAATCATATTTAAGTTAATAAATTAACCACAGTCAAATAGTCTTTAAAGGACTGGGTCACTGGGTTTGCCGTGGGTTTTGATACTCTCAGACGAGAGAGAGAAGCGAGACTCTCAGTCTCAGACGACAGACGACAGACGAGAGGCAAGAGACCAAATTGATCTGAGATCGATGATGCATGTCGAGTCTCGAGAGTTCGACTGCGATCAATGATGCTGGTCAGGGGTTGTTCGATTACGATCGATGATGCTGGTCGAGCAACCTAGAGTTTCTGCAATTGATCTGCGATCATGATGCTGGATTTTTGCTAAGAAGAAGAAAGGGAAGAATTGATTGTTAGGCGAATGGAAAAATTAAAAGCAGTTATGCCTTTCTTCTACAAATCTGAGTCTCAAAAACTAATTTTAAGGTATGCCTTATGCAAATCTGAATCCCATTTTTAGCTTGATTTCTTATTCCTTTTTCTTCTCTACTTTGGTTTTTTCTTGCATTTTGTCTTTCAATTTTGCCTACTTTGATCTTTTTTTGCATTTTATCTTTCAATTTTGGAAGAATTTTATCATATCTGTCCGAGTTATGCCGATACTACTCCGAGTCATGCCGATATTACTCTGAGTCAAGCCGATCAACCAAATTATAACCGAGTCACAACCGATTCAGGTGAGACTCGTGATTTTTGCGTAACGTGTACCGTTATCGTATCGGATCGGACTCGGTCAATACCTTGAACCCTGTCTACTAAGCTATGTTTTAATGGCTTCTGGCCCTATGGGCATGACCTTTACATATTCGACCACTCACCTGATTACTCAACAAGACTTGTTATTAAACAAAATGGTAGGTCAATGGAATGTTTGGCCATGTATTTGTTAAATCCAATGCTCATTATTTCATTCCAAACCATATTAATTCTAAGAAGAATCAAAGTTCCATTTCAATGAGTGCCATCTCCATAATTCAAAGAAAAAAGCAGTGGTAATTAATTGTATATGCATCTCTTCAATCATAGCAACGTCTTTTTTCATTTCTGCACTTTGTTGGGTGATTTTAAGCATCACAAAATCAATGTATTTTTTTAAGACTTGCTTAGTTCTATTGGGCAATTGAAATTATCTATTATTGATGTTATTGTCATATTATTGTCTATTTGTGATCTATTAAGATTGTGAAGTGAGATTGTAGAATTGTGAATTAGAATTTTTGTTGTCATTGTGGATTTTATGCTTTCAGTTTGTTTGCTCTAGCAAAATGTCATCTTCCGGGACACCAAATGAATGTTTGCTCTAGCAAAATGTCATCTTCCGGGACACCAAATGAATGTTTGCTCTAGCAAAATGTCATCTTCCGGGACACCAAATGAATGTTTGCTCTAGCAAAATGTCATCTTCCACCAAATGAATCTTACTCTACACTAGTTCTATAGTTACATCAAACTCTTCCTCTACACAAGCTACAGTTAGAGGAAAAACTGACCCTGCATGGGAAAAACCAGAAACACCAAATGACAAAATATTGAAAACCAGAAATACTTTTGACTCTAGCAGAACCTCAAATGTCTATATGAACAATATGAAATGGACTAGGCTATCGACCGAAAGAACTAGAAGGAAAAAAGCTACGGTGATACTTGCGTAATTAACAAGCTTCACATTCTAACACAGAAGAAGAGGTCAAACTAGGGATAACTTGACGCAACTTTTGCAAAGAGGGATGGCCTAGTCAAAAGTGTCATTGAAGAGGAGACACAATAGCACTCAAGGCAGATGTTAAGGACATGGACTGAGTAGAATGGAGATCGTTAATCCCATGTACTGACTGAAACAAACCATCAACCAACATAATACGTGCATTACACAAACAAAAATTAGAAAATAGGGAAGAATTACCAGACATATGAGCACTAGCTCCTGAATCAATGCTCCAAGATGACGAAGAAGGTTGAACAACTATTCATGCAAATTTACCTCCATTAGTAAGGTCAGTAGTAGAAATAGAGATTTGTGTAGAAAGTGAAAATATCTGTTGGATGAGCTAACGAAGCTGCGATGAAAAATCATCACAAGAGTCAATAGTAGGAGAAACTGGACTATTGGTAGAAGTCTGATGCACTGAAGAAGTATCATTAGAAGTTTGATGAGTATATGTTGGTCTCTCATACTTATCCCAACAATAATTCTCAGTGTGTCATGTACCACCACAATAAGTACACTTCAAGTTAAGGTGACGACCCGGCCAGAATGACCACCATTACAACCATTCGAAGTCACCATTGAGAAACCCACAATTAGAGATGCAACCAAACAAACTAATATAGAAAGTAATCATCAAACCAGTAAACAATCAAGGACTGATGAATTAGAGTGCCTTCGAACAACAACCCAACACCGAAAGCAACGACACCAGTCAAATCTAACACAAAAAAGACAACCACAATGCAAAACCAACCCACATCCATTGCAAAATCAATGGAGTAACACCAATGGAGCCCAAATCTAATGCAAGAGGAACCTATAGTGGAACCCAACACATAAAACAAGCAACAATCAGCAACACAACACAACCCACACACAAACAACCAATCAGGGCACACGGTGAAGCCCAAAATACACAGCCAGCTTCTGCCGAAGCACAAAAAAACTACTGCTAAAGCACAAATCCACCAAACACACCAAACAGCTCACAAGAAGAACCAAGGGAGCTACAGGAGATCAAGAAAACACCAAGGCAAATCAAAGGATCCAGATCCGTCGCTCGAAGAGTCGCCGGAATAGTCCAGTCGGCAAACACATCCCAAAAAATGCACCAAAAACACACCAGCAAGGTTGGGTTTGTCAAACCAACTCTCCAAGCACCTATTCGGACCAGTCTGTGACTGATCAAAGTAGGAAATCTCAAGAACAAACCCCCAAATCAGTAGATAAAAAATTAAACTCTATTTTCACAAAAATCATTCGAAAATAGAAAACTCCATCCAGATGACTTCAAAAAATAAAAAAGAATTACCAGAATATTCAATACAAAAAACCGAGTCAAGTAGTGTGTTGCCAGCATCAGAAAGTGCTAATGTCATGCTGACATCATATTCTGACTAACGTGTCCGATGACCTACTATCCTTTGATTTTTATTTCTTGATATATTCTCACAAATTAATGCTCTGATGCCAAATTGAAATAGTAAATAGAATATTAGAGTTAGAGAAACGAGAGAGAGAGAGAGAGAAAAGAGAAAGAGAGGAGAAAAAGCATCAACAGAGAGTAATCAGTTGTGTGAACAGTGTTACCCTACACTCTCTTATTTATATTGAACACTATCTTATGTAATTACAATATTACCCCACATAAATAGAAAACATAGAAATAAGAACTCTAACACCTACACCATTTAATTTGCATTTACATAATAAAATTTAAAGTAGTTTAGGATAGGAAAGTAGAAACCTGTACCTCACATATGACTACGTCTTTCCCTTAAAAAGTTGATTTGCGTAAAACAGTACCAGGTACCTGAATGCACAACCCAAGAAGCGGAGATATCTCTTTTTTCAGATTGTCACGGAGCATCCCATATATTTTCTCCACATATGCTGTCAGTTGTTGTTTGAACAGCAAAGCGGGGTATTTGGCTTCAACTTGGCGTAAGGTATCTACTCCACCAGCAGACTCACCATTGACAAAAGAAAGATCGGCACCTTGTGGGGTACCACGAAAACTCTGAAGAAAAAAATAGCAGCCTTTATGATGCATGATGAATAGCATACAATTCAGACTCAAAATGAAAATTTGTTTTACCTGTGTCATCCTGCCAAATAGAGTAGCTGATGTTGAACGTCGATGTTGGGGAGTCATTCCAGCAGCACCACCAGCTTTCAATGTACGTTGCAGCAGTAGCAGCAGAGTTGATGCATTAGACAGCCAATAGGCCAAGTTTTCATTGTTGTCCTGGATCTTCAAATCACAAAAGAATTTCAAAATTCTAAAAAGCCATTCAAAGTAATAACAGAAGATAAGTTGCACCCCATAAGCATCGAACTCCACAATTCATACCTCAATAGCATGGCCTATAGTTTGTATTATGCGATCAAAAATGCTGGTTCTCTCGACTTCAAATGATCTCCACTGCCTAAGGCATTTGTATATGATGCAGACAGCAACCGGTCTGCCCCTAGAGAAGCCTAGGTGCTGTGCAATGCATCGGATGAGCAAATCCTGATACTCCTGCTGTTTCTCATTAAGAGATTTTTGTGGTCTCTCTTCTACCTCCAAGTGATCCCTTGAGCTCATTGAAGCACTATGCAGATCCTATAACAATTTTTCATTTGATCAAAAAATTCTAAAACTGTGCAGAAACTAAAGAATGTTTTTTGTAATTTGCAAGCAGTTAGACTTACTACAGCATTTTTTGTGCTTTCAGCCCTCTGCAAATTACAAGACAATAAAACCGTAGAACATGTAAGTAACTAATAACATTACAGTCCAATATGAACAACATTCTTTTCAAGGAGTACCTGAATAATTGACTTTGAGCGTCCTGATTGTAACTTATTACTTTGAGCCATTGATAAAGCCTGCTGACGTAGAACTTTGTTCTCTGACTCTAAATTGGTGAGCTTCTCTTCATGCCTATTTGCAAAACGATAAACTGCACCTATAAGACAGTATATAGGAGATGGCCATTTTTATGTAGACATAACTAATAGGCCATTGGCAGGTGTCCCGTTAGCCGGAGCTATTACAGCGGGCAGAAATCAGAGGAATAGAAAAATGAAAACAGTGCAAAATTACAGTTTCTACCACCAATAATGAAGGAAAACAGAAAATCAACAAAATTTAACTTTCCAATGCTTCATATTCAGCACAATGTAACATCAGCACAGATATATTATACAAAATTCAATGCTAGAATACGAAACACAAGAACATCACAGTAGGGTTCAAAGACTCGGCCGAGTCGTATCCGTCTCGGCCATGACCAATCCGATATCGATACACGATACATAAATATCACGAGTCATTCATGACTCGGCAATGAATCGGTTATAACTCGATGGTATCCGCTCAACTTGGACTCATATCGTTTGAATCAGGCGAGTTACATCGGACTCGGACCGATAGTCGTAGAAACTTCAGCAAAATCTCCAAAGTCAAAATGGTAAAGGAAAAAGGAAATGGAGAAAAAGATCTGAGACTCAAATGGGCATTTTTCAAACCTTAAGTCAAAAAAAATCACAAGCAAATTCACCCTCTTTTGCGACTTAAGAAATAGAAGAAAAATTGAAATAATTGCAAGGCATACCTGTTAAAATCGAAGACACAAAAAGCACTAGCATCATCGCAGAAGCCCCCTCTTTCTTCGTCTTCATCATCGCAGAATCCCTAGCATCGCAAATGAGTCAGAGACTCAGATCCCTCCCAACAAGCCTTCAGCGACCAACATCGACTCCCAGACCCCAATCATCTCTCTCTCTCTCTCTCGTATGTTCTCGGTTCATCAATGAGTCTAAGTTTGTCTCTCGCGTATGTTCTCAGTTTGTTGTTGCGCAGAATATGTGAAGATTTGGCCTTATAAGGAATGAAACTCAAAAATATAGTTGTCTCCCCCTTTTTTTTTCTTTTCTCTTTTGGTTCCCAATAGTCCCACAATTCAAACTGTTTTAGTCCAATTTTTTTAATTATATAATTTTTAGTATTTACCATATAATATAATTAGAACTTAACTTATTAAATTTGCTTTTGTATATGTAATGGAAGATTTAATAATTAAATATACATAATGAAAAAAAAAATTAATTTCTAGTTAGATATACATTAAATAATTAAATGAAGTATTTATTTATAAGTAGATTTTCATTTTTAAAGCTATTAAGTTAACCATATATATACACTTATATTACAATTTTTAAAAATTACAAGTTAAATTATATTAATATTGAACATAGATGATGAAAAATATTTTTCGGTAGCGCCCTTATTATTCTTTTTTGTAATGATTAATGTGTTAAATAATGTCTTTTGGGGATATGATGCATGCATAATGATATTTACATTTATTACAATTTTTTCTAATTTTTCCTAAATTTTTTGAGCCTTCTATATAGTGTTTTGAGAGTATCGGCCGATACAGTGCCGCGACGCCGTGACCAATGTGTCTCAGTGGTCCCCGAGTCAAGGGCCGATACCGCGACCTTGAACCATGCATCACAGGGATGTATTGAATTCAGTCAAATACTACTATTGTAAATTCGCATCATTTTTGTTGAAGGTGGAGAAGGAACATAATTAGCTCAGTGCACGAGATTGATGCCGCTGCAAGGTTCGGAGAGACTGCTCCTGTGACTCGAACCCGCGAACATAATCCTGAACAAAAACCTGGTATGACGCCAATCAAGCATGTTGTTCAATGATTGCAGTAGGTAGTGACAGAAAACTTAAGGTTCCTCAGTCCAAATTTTTTAGGCAAAGGGAGCCCGGCCACCCTGGGGAAGGTGGTCTCATGACTTTTCTTCTTCCTATACTTCTCCAACTTCACCTCATAACTCCTTGAGGGACAAATGACAGGCATCTTGCTGACTTTATGTCTATGTTCATTCATTTTTCCCAGTATTAATCTTAAGATGATTATAAATTTAAACCAGTAGGCCGCCTTACCAATATAAACAAATATAAATCAGATTAATTTCCTGAAAAGATTGATGTGGAAAGGTCTTTTAAACTTTCAGCTTCTTAGGTGTGGCTAACTGCTAAGTACACTATTTTCATGAGTAAAAGAACAAATGAAAGATAAACAAAAAATGCAACTGCCCCTGGAGCTGGAAACCTACCATTTTCTTGTTGTAGCACACCCAATGAATTAGTCAACTTAGTAAGTTGAGTTCTAATGTTGCCGAATGCTTGTGCATTTTGATTATTCATTGTCGTTTGAATTTGTATAAATTGATGCAATGTGTCCTATAGACTTCTCTTATGAGGGGGTTGATATGTAGGTGCATTTTTTTGACCGTGAGGGTCAAATCCATGCTGAGGCGGGTTTTGCGAAAACCCTTGGGATCCATGATTGTGATAATGAGAACTAGTTGACGGACCCTAACCTGAAAATTTTTGTTTTTGTTGGACGGGAGGGGCATATGGCATAGATGCAGGAAAAGAAATTGACAAAACCATTTTATTGAAAGTCTCTAAACCTACAGAAAAAGAGACTGAGGAAGAATCTAAGAAGGGGTGAGAAACTTGATTAGCCCAACATTGTCAATCTTGATGGAAACAAGTGTCCTATCCCTGCACCTTATCCCCAAAGATTGAAAGTACAAACAAAAAATGTAACTGCATCGAAGCAACTGCTACAGAAAAAGGGAACAACAAATCTCAAATTTAAGATGGGTCATGTAGTGCTAGAGGACAGTATTGGGAATGCAAAAATTTTGATCAGGAAGTATAAAAAAGATATTATAAAAAATTGTGACTTGATATTCTTATAACTATGCCCGAAGCACAAGAAAATAGAATGATACCTGTAACCCCACAACAGATTTGTTGCGTCCAAATTCTAAATAGGATATATAAAGCACTACTAATACATCAGTTGAGCCAGAATACAGCAGATCTGAGATAAAACCTTATTTAATAGTACTTAGAGGACCAATATCTGAGTTAGATTTCTTATTCAAGATACCATAATAGAACCAGATTACCTGATTCATTCAATAATGATGGTGGTTAAAGGAACATTGCGGGCCTGAACAATGTATATATGGTCGAGACTAACAAAAATATTAACCACCACAGAAATGGAAGTTCCTTAAAAGATAAAAAAGCAGAGGTCACTGTCCCTACAGGTCACTCTAATAAGAACAATAGCAAGGGCAAAAAGAGAATGACAAACTCGTCGTGAAAATTCTAAAGAATCTAAACAGGTTTTGCCTAAAGTTGATCTGTTTCCGAACTATTGATAAGTTCAATATTCTTTACAAAAGATTTGCCAATATCAGATGCCATATTTCAAAGGATTCTCAAATCAAGATCTGGAGAGAAATTAATAGGAAAAACTATCTTAACAAGATATTTCCCATAAATAAGATATTATATCTGCAGTAATAGTCAAACTAAATAAACCTGAGACCCTAGTATTCTACAAAGAATATGAGATTTGAAAAAATACAAGACAAGTTCATCAAACTATGAAATTAGTCAGAAAATAAAATATATGAAACAGTGTACCCACTCCAATCAAAATAGTAAGATAAGAGCTGCACAGATAATAGTGTATCAACTCGAGGTCCACTAGTGTTGAAAACTTGTAGTGATGTGTCAACAATACAATGAACAAGTTAGCTGTCACTAATATTATCCTTCTCAATTTTATGAGAATCAAAGTTAGTCATCTACTTTGGGTCAAGTACCTACAAATCCCAGTATGCCCACACAGTTGAACTAACATCTAGCTAGAAGGGAAATAGATACAACAATGTGAATGAGCAAGTTCCATCAGAAGAAGTCATCGAACGCCCCCTCCCGGTCACTTTCCCAGTTTTCAAATCCTGCACAAGGCAACCATCAAGAGAAGAAGAAAATATATAATACAGTTTCTTTCAACACGTCCTATTTAAACAAAATGACACTTAGCTTTGGGATATAACTAGTGAATCTAACGAGCCATAAGGACATATTGACACTCAAATGGAAAGAACGGAAGGACTAGAAGTCTCTCAATCCTGGCAGTGAGACCTAAGAGAATTAACAACAGAATTTTATGTGCTACCAGGAGACTCTAACGAAACTAGACTGACCTGAGGTTTCAGCTGCTGAAAGATCCTGAACTATCAGCTGGAAAGCACCAGAATTGAGGGAAGAGAAGGATACTGGAGTTGAAGCAGGAGCTGGAAAGGTGAAATCAGAATCTTTGGATGTAGTGTCAGATGAATTGGATGTAGCATCAACCTGACCATCTCTACCAATGAGTCCTGAAGTTGAACTCGAGTTGGATGAGGCACACAAAATCATTTTCAGCTCTGAGACTTGGTCTGACATGCTGTATATCATCCTGAGGCACACTAGATCATATTTGGTATTAGTCAAAGCCACATGGAAGCTACTTAAGCTGAATTTTACTCAGATGTAACTCCTGCAACTAATTTAAATATTATATCAAATACTGAGGGGGCGAAATAGTAAATGCACTGTTCTCATTTCGGCTCTGTTTTCTAGTCCATTTTCTATATATTTTTATTTAGCTAGAAAATTATTTAATTATTGCTTTCCAGGAAAATGTTTTAGTTGTTTGGTTTTAATATTTTCAAGCATCATGGTTCTCTTCTGACTGACCTGATTTACACACAAATTGATATCAAAGTAGGCACGGTGGGTTACAATCTTGATTCAGAAAGTATGCTTCTGGTGGTCAAGTGTAAGTAGAAGGTTCAAACAGGATTTAGTCACTGATGTTAGAAAAAAGAGAATATGGAATAAAAGGAAGTATGGGGCAAACACGACAGCATGTGAGACAAGGAAAAGATGAACAGATCAAAGAATAAGTTGCTTTCAAATTGCAACATCATTATGTCAAGGATTCTCGAATCACCTTGCCCTAAATGAACTGTTCACCAGATAAAGCACAGAGAGAAAGGGACACAGATATTCCGAAACATCACCTAGTTATCAAGATCTAAGATGGTACAAAAAAATATTCACATGCCGTCCGTTCTGAGCAAAATACACTTAAATCACTATTCTTGCTATCTGATTACAATCCTACTGGAAGTAGCTTGATCCAGGACGAGGACGAGGAAGAAAGGGGGAAGACCCCATCTGTGCATCTGCAAAAATGTACTGGATAGTATGCTACTTTGGAAATCTTTGATGCTTTCGCCTAAAAGGGAAACCAAAACCATGACATGATGATACAATCCAGACTGGTTTAGATGAAAACAGGACTTCTGCCATCACTCAAGAATACTAATGGTAAATGAACACATACTCTATTGACAAAGATACATATGTCATGTGAGAGCACTGTGTGCATTCTTGATGGTGAGCTAGATAGATATTTCCAAATAGAGATTAACCACCTACGATAACACCATAATGCCTCACCTTTGGTTCCCGGAAAAATTGCAAACGTTAATTGCTGCTAAACATAAAGAGTCTGGACCTAAACCCCAACAGATTTTGCATTCAATGTGATCCCATTACTTCACTGAAAATCCAATTTAAAGGAAAACTTGATTTGCACAAAAATAGCTACAGCCTACAAAATTCTACATTTCCACTAAAATAGCTACAGCCTACAATATTCTACTTTTCCACTATCATTCAAAAGTTCTGACAAAATGCATTTACTTTCCCCTCTTCGGTCACTTTAAATCTAGTTAAACATCAAACAAGTAAATAAAAATTATCATCAATGTCGAAAGCAAGCTTGATGATAGATCCAAATAACCATTATCCTAACATGTTGAAATAACATTTTGAATTGCTAATAAGTTGGAAGTTGGATTAAGCTTGGTTGAATGTAGCAATTAGATCAGGTTTCATTCTTCCAAAGCTTATTGCCACAAATACCTGATTCAAACAACACAGTTCGAAGCGCAATAACCAACACCTTTTTTGGAAAGTGCTATAACCAACACTTATTTGATCTATTTTGCACAGATTACAATACTTATTTCCTACCTTCTTTGTTCTATATATTCAACCTTACAAAACTCTTACAACATGAGATAAAAGCAAAATCATACTGAAAGACCCACAACGCAGTTCAATAACAACAGAGGCAACAAATGCTGCCATGGGCAGCAGAAGAAAGTCCTTTTAGGCGCTGATCAATGGTTTGTTTTGTTGTTGAAATGAACAGCTTTAATATGAGCTTTTAGCATTTAATAAGGTGCAACAAGGGGTTATGATTTTAATCAAGCAAGCCTTTGAATGGTTTACTTACCAAAAAAGGGATTACAGTCGCTAAGGTAATGTTTTGTTTTAAGGAATAAATGGATATCATGGTAGGACTTCGAGGTAAGTAAAAGGTAGTGAAATTATTTCTGGTCACGGCAGTAAAGGTAAAAAAGTTCATAGAAGACAAAAAGAAGAAGAAGAAGAGAGCAAGAGGATGAGACAAAAAGAGAAGGCATACCTCACCATTGCGAGGTTATTCAAAACACACACAGAATCTTAGTTGTCGCAATTTAATACTTTATTGAATAGAAAGGTCACATTGGTATTATACATTGCTGGACTCTTAAATCTACTAGGACAAGGGCCCAACAATGAGGAAATTCTTGACTTTTTAACATTAGTACTACTATAGGAAGTACCTAAGGTTTGTGTAAACCCTTTATAACATAGCAAAACCTATATCAAGACCTATGGACCACAAGTCCACTCCACGTCCAGCAATTATCAAAATTACCAAAATACTATTGACAACTATAACCTAATAACACATAACAAATCATTCTAGCACTTGTTAACCTAAAAGCACTGTTAAGTTGCACATAACAATGCATGACTTGGTTGGACAAGGCTGAAGGAAGCTCCCAGTTAAATACATAATTTCCATGTTCTAGTTCATATGTTTCGAATCAAGCCCTTATGTTCAAGAAGTTGACCACGAAGTTGTAATGTGAAGTTATAATAAAACACAAGCCTCGAAGCGGCACGCCTTGAAGCATGATATCCCATATTAGAATTGATATGGTCATCTCTTTTCGAAGAAGCCGTGACAGCATCAGAAATCACATTTTCTCCATTGGGACATTCTTCAATAGCGTCAACAACCACATCATCTAGCTCTCTAGTGTCAGATTTTAGACTAACAATAATGATGCCATATGTCGGGATTTTGGAGGTTTTGGACAAGTCTCTATTTCAATTTGATTAATTTCATCATCCAATCCACCTCTTTTCATGTCATTTGTGCACTCGTTATGTTTCTGAATCTGTCTTGTGATTCTTCTATTTATCCCTTGCACGCAAATGGAAGTCGCAAGTACGGGGGAATACTAGAGCTTATCCTAGATCATTAAAACCAATCAAACTCTAGTATATGAGTCTTGTGAGTTTCTTCCCTCGTAGCCACTTAGTTTTGAGTTGTATCCTTAACAATTGATCAGACAGTTGACATTTAATATGACAGCCCAACTGAAGTCATATGTCAATGTTAGCAAACTATAATGTGAACTTCAGCTGAGAGAAGCTATATCAATCACTACTGTTGTAGATATATCTGTTAAGCTACTTGAAAAAGTTCGTCTCAAATTAAGATCACTATATTAATGATCAATTTCATAGCAACATCAAGTGAGAGAAGGGAGCAGAGCATCATTGAATCTGCCAAAAAATAGAGCTGAAATTCAGCTTGCAATCAACACTTCAAATTTGTAATAGTATAGGAAGAACGTTCACGGATTCGAATCAAGGAAAGAACCTCTCAGCATGTGGGATAGATTGCGTATATAATCTTCCCCAGACCACAATAGTGGGGACCTGCCTCATGCAGTAAGTGCCCCTCTTTAGCACTCAAGTATGTCAGAGTTTATCAGAGAAAAAGGGAGACAGAGAGAGGGAATCCTGTTTAACCATATCGAAGGCTAGATTCTTACTGTTATTAAAAGAAAACCCAATTTTAGTTGTGATTTTATAGATTTACTCGTTGATGCCCTTTGATGATAAAATTCCTAGATTCTCAAGACAAAAATAAGCAGTAATGCACTAAAACCACCTGTTAAAAGATTCCTGGAGTTGATGAACTCTTCTTTCAGTTTCTTCTAGTTTCTGACACTTCTCCTCACTTGATTCCAGGGCCTCTGCATATTTCCTTTCATAATCATCAGCTCGATGTTTTTCAGATTGCAACAAGACCTGTGTAATGAAACCAGTGTAGAGATTGAATAAATAGATTTGGAAAAAGTTAAATTATGGGAGAGAGGGAGAGAGAGAGCACTCATTATCTGCAAACGACATGTAATATAATAACCCAAGTACTTTAAGCATGCACATGTCACATGTCACATGGAGGACGTTAAAATGTACTTTTAGTAATTGCACACAATGAAATCTGAATGCAGCTATTCTCATAAGTGCTGCCAGACCAGCATTCATTAGATTCAAAATACCAGATGGACAAGCAACAGCACATAAAAGAAATATTTAAGTATTAGTAACAAATTCACATGGATAAAAATGTGTGCACATAAAGAATGTAGATGTAGCTAATGGATGGGAAAACAAGGAAAACTGGAAATGTAGGCTAAAATGAAGAGTATTTGTAGAAAGACCACCATCTGCTCTAACTAGAATAGAAAATATATTTCAAACTTCAAATCAATGGACTAAAGGATGGAGTTCGACGATATTCCTCTCTTGTATTATTGCATGCTGGAAAGCATCGTGTGGCTTGTAGTTCAGTCTTAGTATGTATGTTTTATGATGAGCTGTCATTGTGTTGGACGTCTTGTCAATCTGTGATTTGGTTATTACTCCTGTAAAGACTTCGTTGGATTATTAATAAAATTACTGTTTCTTGAAAGAAAAAAAAAACTGGACCTGACTAGAGGTTGGAGAGCCTCAACCTAGTTCATGGATCTCTGGTACTCAGGAAAACCACTGGTCGGAAAAATCCCATATGCTTTTGTTCCCCCATTTAGTTAGTCTGTTGGAAGTATGTTTCGTGTTGGTTTCTCTCAATGTGCAAGCCGGGTTCACCTGTGAAGAAGATTGTTGGGAGCTTGATAAACATCAGGACTCACATTTTTTAACAGTAAGCTTTTGGAGGAAAGAACAAACTAACAGAGCCAAATCAAAGGGATTAACTCCAATTGAAGTAGAGGCTACCTTAAAGAAGGTGAGTACCTATTCAATGCAAAACATAAAAGTGAAGTACATAAACATAGAAGTGCTTCCTCACTAATAGTCTTAAGGCAAAATACAATACCAGCCGAAAACTTTCCCTGAGAAAGGTCCAAAATTAATTATGAATGTGCAATCAAGAAAACTATCACCCTGCTGGTAATAAACAGATTGCAGTTAACCTGCATGTGAAATTTAAGTAAAGTAACCCTAAAGCTTCCCTCTCCCTCCCCCTCCCTCCCCCTCCCCTTCCTGTTCCCGCAATTTGGTCAATGCTACACAAGTATCAAATGATTGCCCAATTTCCACGCAAAATTCAAGGACCAAAAAGTCGTAGTCAAACAAGAGTGTAGTAAAATCCATTTCACAAAAGACCACCTAAAAAACTATTTCACTAACAATTGCTTGTTTACTATGGGAGATAATTAAATGTCTCTTAATTCTGCAGGTAACTAGAGCTGGTCCCCACAAGGAAGGAACATGTTATTGCAGCTAGTCCACGCTTTATCCTGAAGGTAGTTTTCTGGGCAGAAATACAATCATGAAACTATCTCTTTGTTGGTTTGTTCAGACACACTTGAAAGAGGTATCGGTCAATCAAAGCATCTGACACAACACATGCACAATGAGAGAGAGAGAGAGAGAGAGAGAGAGAGAGAGAGAGAGAGAGAGGTGTAGTATATAAGTAACCAGCATACCTTCAAATTTTCCACTTCTGAAGTTAGAGCCTCAACCTTTTCAGTATTTTCGACAGGAACTGGGGTTTCTTTGACAAGAGAAGAAGCTTCTTCAATTGCTTTTTGGGCAGCCTCACATTCCTTGACAAGCAATTCATTTGTTTCATCAACTTTGCTTTGCATAGCTTGCAAGGAATGCTGCATCTTCACTATTTCCTGCCCTTTTGCTTCTTCCATGTCAGTCTGCAAACATGATGTTCAAGTTTGACCAGAGGCCATGTATAAGTAGTATTTTGACTTTTTTGCATGGTAATTTCTTCAAACCTCAAAAGGGTATCATAATCATCATGCAAGCTATTATTAACGAGAACCAGGGAGCTTGATTTTGAATTTCTGAATTTCTAAGAACCTCGGATTATGAATTCTCATAGAACTGACCAAACATTTACATATCAGGCAGAAAAGGAGAAATAATTATTAACGGAATGGATATGTTACCCTCAAACGTTTTTCCAGCTGCAAACGCCATGTGAGTTCTTCCACCTGTTTTTCAAGCTTATCCTTTGCTTCTTTGAGGGCACCTGTTTCTCTTGCGGCCTGAAATTGTGGGTGCTTCACGTCATAAATATACAAGAGGGGATAATTACTGAAGAACAAATTCAATCTGGCATGTAGTAGCAATAATAGTGAGCCTCTTCTTTAATCTATATACACAGGCTTTATTTTCGGATTTAGTTTACATAAACATAAATGGTGCACCATTATCAAACATCTCGCCATAATTCTCTACCTATCAATCGAGAATAATCATAGACCTTAACCAGAATGCATTTTGATGGTATCAAACATATATCAGATGGATGCTTCACCATTGCATGGATAGTCATATTCTCACTTAAAATGTCATTGGAGTAATTCGCAGCCCCTCATACTCTACAATAGCATTTTAGCTATTTATCATGCTAAACATAGAAAGAACATGTAAAAAGAAATATCACTTAGGTAATATGGCTCAATCTTACAATGTAGACCTTGCATCATAAAATTGACAGAATGGAGACATGGAAAAATGAAATATTAATCTGATAGCACTAAAACATCAACTCCTACCATCTTTAATTTGCGAAGCTCTTTCCTGGCTATTATCCCCCTCCATCTGCATTGTGTAACAACTGATGCCCTTATGAGTTTTTTATGGTATGAAAAAGCTCTATGACCCCGCCAATGGGCCTGCAAATATTTGGTTTTTCACTTTAGCAGAGCACGCATGAAATCAAATCTTTGAAGCAAAATAAAAGACCACGTACTGACCTGCATAATAATTGCTGCCTTGGTTTGCTTTCTGTGCCTGAATTCATTACGAGCAGCCATTGCCCACAAACCTGTCTGCAAGACAATGGCAGAGAACTTCAGTTTGTTGTAGGCCATCCTGGCCTGGTGTCCACGCTGATTCGTCTGAATTTTAAGAGAAGCTGCCTCCCTTTTCATATTTTCATACAATTTGCAAGCAAGCCTTCCTAGTAGTCATCACCAAAAACTAAATAAAGAAAAAATCCACTAAAATATGATCTATCTTATGAAAGTATGCAGTATGTATAGTGGATTCAATCCCTAAAGTGCAAGGAGAGCAAATAAAACATCAATCAGGCCCGATAAGGCATCCAATAACTAAGCCTACAACAACACAGTTTTTCAGATTGACATACCTCTACATACGGATTGTATAAAAATAGAAGCTTTCTGCAATGCAACAAATTGTTTACGAGTAATATGAGTTCTGATCTTCCTTTGAATAGTCTTGGCTGCATTGCTAAGTTTTTGAGCTCTCCGTGCATCTAAGTCAGCCATCTGACCAGCTCGTAGGAAAACCTTCGTCTTTCCTATCTGCAAAGCGATCTATGAGCCCCATGTATAAATCCACCTTTATTGCATAGGTATGCAACCAATTCCCCTTGTATGGAAGAGAAAGATTGGAACAAGCAAGCAAGAGATAACCGCAGGCAGAACACATACATGACTTTTTCATGTATAGAAGATTAGACCATAGCATGCATCCATTTATACTCAATGACATGGCTGTTTTTCCCACTTAACTTTCTTTCTGTTCAAGGTGGTCATTATTCTTCAGTTTCCTAATTTCTTCCCTCTCCCTCCTTTCTCTCATGAAATACGAAATGCCCTTGACACATTCACCCCTGCCATTGTATCGTCATATACTATGTCATGTAAATCTCTATCTATCTTGGCAGGTGTGATCATGTCGAAAGTAATCATTTTTCTGATCAGAGGCAATTGGATATCTTTCTGGCAAGATCTATTTTTTTCTACTTATGACAAACTACGTTATTATGCTCAAGGATTAAAAAATCATTTCGAAATGGTCGAAACATCTAAAACGTTTCCATTTCTAACGAGACCGAAACGAATCAATGATGAAATCGAAATTCTAATACTTTGAGGTGTTTCATAATGTTTCAAAATATTTTATTATATTTTAATGCATTTGCACAATTATTTCATAATGTTTCAAGGTATTTCAAAATATTTTGGTATATTTTGACTAATATTTTAAAAAAATAATTCTTAAAGTTTTTATTTTTTTTCATTATGTTTTTGAAACGGGTAGAAACGTTTCCGAAACACGTCGAAATATTTCCTTTTCCTAGGTGACCGAAACGAAATTTTGTTCCTAGATTATGCTTCAAAGTCATCGTCCAAATACTTGAAGACGCATTGAAAAAAATCACAAAGGAAACAAGGTTAATTTCTTTAAGAAATGAAAGAAAATGAAGAGAATTGAAGCATGCAGAAGGGAAAGATTTGATTAAAGCTCTTACTCATGAAGCATGTACCCAAAAGGTCACCGCTAAAATCTATAAACCTTAAGGTGCTTCATAACCACGTTATACTAAAACCAAGGACCAATATTTCATTTCAATGCATTATTTCAATCACCTAGGAAACGGAAACGTTTCGGGGTATTTCGGGAACGGAAACGTTTCGACCAGTTTCGAAAACATAATGATAAAAAATAAAAAAATTAAGAATTAAGAATTATTTTTTCAAAACATTGATCAAAATATATCAAAATATTTTGAAACATTCCGAAATGATTGTACAAATACATTGAAATATAACAAAATATTTCGAAACATTATAAAACACCTCGAAGTATTAGAATTTCGATTTCATCACTAATTCGTTTCGGTCTCCTTGGAAACGGAAACGTTTCGGATGTTCAACTGTTTCAAAACGATATTTTGATCCTTGGCTAAAACCCTTGTCAAAGAAGACTAATATGCATTCACTTGTTTTACTTCAGTGTTGGATTAGAATTTCTTTGTATGTTAAGTTAGGTTGCAACCAATCTCTAGTTCTGTTAGATACATGCAAGAAGAGAAACTGAACAAATAACAGCCAATTCACCCAGTAGGCAAGAGAAAACTTTATACTTTCGTTTTTGTGAAAATGTGAAAACTCTGTATTACCTGAGACCCTGTGAGCCCAGTCTTACTTAAAATCTGTTTGCATGCGACCCTTTCGTCATAACTGCACATATATGCAACAAATTCAGACATGAGAACATAAACGGATCATATTTGACAAAGATCACAAACTGGTTAACAAAGAACATAATATCTGTACTTATTTTGGAACACTTCCTGCTACTTACGTCCCTTCCAAAACCTCGGGTGCAAGAAGACCAAATCGATTTAGAAAGTCAAAAAAAGTCTTCCGAGTAGGATATCCAGCACAACTGATTCTAATTGCCTCAAGAACACCCTACAATAAACAAAAAATGAGGATACACCACAAATATATGAATAAAAACAAGCAAGACATCTACATTACAAATTGTACTCACTCCACAACGTAGTTGTTGCATGACGTTGACATTCTCAAAAACAGCGGGTTTAAGAAGATTGTTGGGCTTCACACATCTAATGTAGTGTGGTTCTGTAGAATTTAAAGTCTCCATCAGTTGTTGGAGTTGTAGCTGCACCAATTAAATTGCACTATCAGCTCTTACCTTCTTGCAGTGTCAAGTCAAAAAATTGACAATCTATACCATGATTCAATTAAGTGTATTATCCAATGAGTGAGTTAATAATGTAAAATTTGCTAGCACTGTAGTCTAGGTGTGTAGAAGGAAATATACCCGAAAACGAGAACCAATAGACGAAAACTTAGAAGATTTTGTTGAAGATTTGGCTGTGTCCTCAGGAAGTGGAGGGAAAAGGCCTGCTACGAAAGTGCATTTGGAAGAGCTTAACAGATCTTGATGTTCAGGAACAACATAGTCTTTGTTTTTGTCGAGAAATTGATCAGATTGATATTGAACCTGAAAAGACATATGGCAAATGAAGATATTTCCATGCAGCAGCAACCCACACTAGCACACTTAGAATTGAAAGAATATCCATAATCCAAATCACCTCTCCAGCATAATGAGCAATCGTGAAATCAGTGCGAGACAATTTCGGCTTGATAAAACGTTGGTGAGCTTTGAATGTCTGATAAAGCTTTTGTGAAAATGTTTCATGAGTTGACTTCGGAAACATACTGGAAACAAGAAGTCCACAATATAAGTAAATGAAAATTTTGATTCAAATTGTGTACGCAAAAGCATAGAATCAACTTCCCCACACAAAAACACATGCTAATTCTCCAACACACATACATCTACATGCTCACAAAAATAAACGTGCACTACAAATATATCCTGAACAAATGATATCCATCCTACCAGGCTTCATCAAGCAGAGCAATGATCCCTCCAGGTTTCTGCACAAACAGTACAAATAAAATATCTGTGAAAAAAACTACTTCATGAGATGGACTGATTGCTAAACTAAACATACAGTACACACTGAATATATCTCTGATTAAAATAGATGAATTGTCATGCAGAAATAAACTAACATAAAAGAAATGTTTGATACTTTGCAAAATAAACTAATATAAAAGAAATGTTTGATAATTTGCAAAAGATAATCTGACGCAAAACTTTAGAGAAGTGCAAGTCAGAACATGGAACTGTTTGAACATGATATAAGATTTACCAAGGATGTATACATACAACAACGAATTAATAACAGAACAAAAGAGACAATGACACCATATGTATCAGCAAAAAACATTAAAATAACATGACCCCATAACATATTTGCCCTCTCATCCCTACTAGCAAACTGTCTTCAACCACCAAATGCTCCAAATTCTATCAAATTCCCAGTTTATCTCAGTTGAGACCCATGTTTTTGCACTTCTGGGAGACTAGGACCCTTAAATTTCTCAGAAAATTCAAATTGATGATTGGAGAGAATGGCTTTCCAGCCTGTAAACTAGCCCGCTTCACTAAACTGAAACTATGTGATGTATGCCCAGGCCCAGAGAAACAGTATAATTTCTGTATGTATTTTTAGAGCAAGAAACAACATTAACGTGTATAAGCTTCAGAAATGAAGGCAACTCGTCAGCTTAACATTCTAGATCACTACACAAATCCGTACACTATGCCTTCTGAAAGTTAAAATTCAAATTTTTTGATACTGAAGAAAATCACTTGTTAAACCTTTGGGTAGATTACACGAACTCTCCTTGGGGTTTCTGACAATTTCAGAGACATGCCTTCAGTGTGGCAGTTTGTAACGGATTTTCCCCCTCTATTAGACGACTCTAACAGTCAATGATGAAAACAACTGACATCAGCGTCTCATCTTTCCAAAATACCCACCTTGCCCTTACCAAATTTAAAATTACTATAATACCCTCACCAGCAACACCTTCATCTTGTCATGCCCCTACTTCCTCTGCTCGGTGAACTTAATACCACCACTACCTAAACCCCACCGACCATCGCCATCAAGACGACTCAATTCATTATTCTCTCTACAGCTAGTTCTGTTTTTCATTATTCCTTGGGTGTATCTGTATGTATATATACAAGGTCCTCAAAATGTGTATTGCAAAGCATATTTGGATGCCAATGTACAAGGGCATATTGGGCTTAGAAAAGATACAAGGGCATATTTGGAAATCATAATTTCTATGGACAGTTGTAAATGGACAATTCTAATAAGGAGTGGCAGTGTAATTTCAAAAACAAAAAAGATGTCCCTATAATTGTCAAAAACCCCAAGCGATGCCAATGCAATTTACCCTATATCTTTAATGGTTTCAAGCATTTATGTCATCTTTTCATAATACACTTCTTTTTTACTTGTATCATGCTTTCTTAGATATACAATACCACATTTAGAGTACAACTATAATGGTTGGACCACAAAAAATTCTTGCTACACAACCCAAATGTTCCCACAGATTGTAAGCGGGGGTTTGATCTTTTTAAGCAAAGCATCAGTTTTGAACTTGTATGTGTACATCGGCATCAATTAACGAACTTTCTTTGTTGCTTAAGTATCTTCATCTTCAATAAAATATATATCAATACTCCATAAAAGTAACTGTTTACCAGAAAACTGTTGAAGGCATCCAGTTCACAACTAATTGACAATATAAAGGTCCTTTAACCATATATCAAAACTTGGATGGACCTAATCTTTAGTGGGATACAAGTTCTCTTCACAGTTCACACCATCCCTCAGGTGCAACCCAAGTCCATACATTGTTGGCAAACTAAATTGAAATAGACAGACAAGTAGACCAAGGAATTCAAATGTTTGAGAGATTTTCGTCCACTGACCACCCACGACACAGCTCTGATGTCATGTTAAAGACATTCAACTCAAAAGCAACTGGCAGTGAGTGAAACAGCCCCTAAACCATTTATCGAATCTTGGTTGGCCTTAATCTTTGAATGTGGGAAACAAGCTCCCTTCACAAACATATCCTGTCCTTGAAAACCAAACACGAGTCCTACGAAAATTGTGTTGCCTTAACATCATGTTATATTGCGAAACATGAAGTCAAATCCTTGGCCTTTACATAAACAGAATTTACACATTCGTATAAAATATCCAATAGAGAATCAGTTTCAGGTTGAACAAGATCAACCAACTGTAGAGTAGGATTACCAAAGAAGATATAAAGCCACATCAAAATACGAGAAGTGCACTGAACCTTTTCAATAAGATCCAAGACATCTTGATTATCAACAAATTCTATGTAACTCCAGTCAATCTCCTCTTTTGTGTACTCCTCTTGCTCCATCTTGAATACATGCTGAATGATATCACAACATTTCAATTTTAAGTTGGGAAAGTGGATCGAACTGATGTCATCAACAATGCCAAACATCATACCTGGTTGAAATGTTGCTGAAGCTTCTCATTTGTGAAATTGATGCAAAACTGCTCAAAACTGCAGAGATGGTTGTAAAACACAACTTAACTTACAGAGACTAAGGCATCAAGAAGTAACTTGTTTATTGGTTAAGTTTACATACACAAATTTTTTAATCAATACCTATTAGTTTTGAAGCTCTCAAAACCATATATGTCAAGGACCCCAATCAGAGATTTTGAGTTAGCATCTTGCCCAATTGAGAAATTAATCTTATCCACCAACCTGTAAGTAATAAAAAATCAGCAAGCTCGAAGCATCCCACATGCATTCAAATCAAACCGTGTAATGCTAGGGAAAAAAGAATTACCCTGATCCTAAGAAAGATTAGTGATGGTAGTTATCAGGACAGTATTAACTTACCAGTCAAACAAGCGGGAATATATTGTCTTAGCTAAACCATCCCTGCTAATTGTTGCACCATGAGGATCAAGGCTTCTCTTGATAACTTCTTCTGGGGTTACCATCACACGCTTCAGTAGTGCATCTTCCAATGCATGAAGATCGCACCTGAAATAAGAAAATAAATCAAATCAGACACCAATAACTAAGAAAATAAAAAACACATAACAGTGAAGATAATAAGGCGCCAGTCACACATCAAAAGTTCTGCAGTCATTTGAAGATGGAATTTGGATTTGTCATCCTTTAGAACTGATGAATCAATTTCTTTCCCCTTAGCAAATTCAACATTGCCAAGATGGAGAATTGCAGCCACAACTCTGAAAATTGCATCCTGGGACAAAAGCAAAGTATTATTTGCAGTTACAGAAAGTTATAAAAGGCACCAGAATCATTTTGGATGCAGGAGACGTACCTGTTCTTTCTCACTTATTCCAACTATATCCATGGCTCTCCTAGTGGCAAGATAGTCATGAGCATCACTAACACCAACGAGTTCATAGCAATTTGATTGATTAAGATAGTGAAATGATTTCGGATTGCCCAACTTATATTTCTCAATGTCCTGGTAAAAGTTAAAAACATTTAAAAGGAATGTTACGGTGACAAATTATGTGAATCATCATCAAGGGCTATGCATTTATGCAATTTGATAGAAGAGGGTTGTGTGAAAATACTACCTCCTGTGGGGCAGCACAAAGAAGATAAAAACAGTGGTAGTTACGCTCAGGTTCTGAAATTTGGCAAACACGAGACCTCTCAAGAAGATAAGTTCTAATGGCCGCTCCAGATATTCTTCCTTGCTTATCGAATTGAATCTCAACAAATTTACCAAAACGGCTGCATCAACATAATTAAATGAGCATCAACAGTACATCCTGCCAACAAATTTCAGAAATTACAATGCTTAATGGGCTTGAATCGATTCCCTATTCATCCATAGCATGACTCTAGCGGTATCTCACCTGGAATTGTTGTTTCTTACAGTTTTTGCATTACCAAATGCTTCAAGAACTGGATTCGACTGCATTTGCATCATGTAGTGGGACAGATACAGATAGGTCAATATTAGGAACAAAATAAAAAAAAAAGCTACTGCAAATTCCACTATAGTTACCAATTTCACAAGTTAAAGCAAGATCAGAAAAAGAAAAGGACAAGAAGGCAGCTTTAAATTCCTTATTATCTGCTTTGAGAGGCTTAACATGAAATAGAGCCTCAATAAAGTATAGAAACCCCACTATAAGAAAGAATTTGCAGTTGGCAATTTTATTTTGAGGAAATCAACTAATTTGAACCCCCATGCTCTCTATAAGCCACATTCAAAATCCGCCTAATATTTCCTTATCTATTTTGCCTACCATTGTCATCTAATTTTCAGTTAAATCTCGTTTCTAAAATTCAAAGTATGAAACACATGAATAGACATAAACATCACAGATGCGTCCAAATCCGAGCAAGAGTTCTTTTGATCTTCAATTTTTACTACTTCCTGGTTTCGATTTCTTTTACCAGACTTACATTCCATAAACTCAATTTTAGTCCTACTTATCCTAAATCCTTTTGATTCCAGGGTTCTCGCCAAATTTCTAGTTTATTATTAATTCATTCTTTGCTTTCATAGGTTATTAAATTAAACTAAAATAAGTTACTGTAGTGGTAATGTAGCACACTACTGTGGCCTGTTCCTATTTACCGTACTATAGTGGTGAACAAATTGGGTTGTTTTGTCTATTTTCAGCTCTTCTTACCATTTGTCTTTCTCTTTCTTCCTCTTTTCTCCTTTTCTTAACTGTCCCATTCGACTCTAAGTTCTTTAATCTTGCTGGGGTTATACTTGCAAACTCCATAAAACAAGAAATCTTGTTTGCTGTCCTGCATTGAATTCAAGCTTTAAATTTTTACTGGAAAAAATCAGGCTTTAAACTGTTTAAACAAAACTCTAAAACATAAAGTTTCCTCCCAAATCCCTTATCCATCAATTACCCATCAACTCTAGTCTATTCTTTCATAAAGTGTAGCCCTATTACTCATTAAATTGCAAAAACTTCTGCTGTCCTGCATAAGGACACCTATAATGTTTTGACATCATTGCCACAACAGAAGTTCTATGTTTGAACTATATTGCCATGTTCCGTGCAACTGCCCCCTTTTAAAGTAACATTACCCATTAAGTTATCGAGATTGCCGTATCAAATATTTATATCTGTCTTAGACTCCGATAAAACGCATGCATTCTTAAAACACGAAGCATAAGCCTCACAGACTTTTAAAACATTGACAAGCATATAATAAAGTCAGATTATCCACTTACTTCTAGAACTTGTTGTTCCACAGTCCGTCCTTCAGTGCCTTTACGGCCACCCAAATAGGCAAGGTAGCGCATAAGCATTTTGGTAGTTTCAGTCTTACCAGCCCCACTTTCACCACTGACCAATATAGAGTTACTTTTTCCCTCATTGATCATTGCCCTGATTCATTTGAAGCAACTCAGCTGACAATATGCATGATGCTTTATTTACCCAAAAAAATATGCATGATGCTTTAAGGAAGAAGTTTATAATATGTTAATGGAATGCAGAGATACCTGTAAGCAATATCTGCAATTGCAAAAACATGAGGACTCAGTTCTCCGAATGGTGCTCCCTTGTATTGTTCCATCATATGAGCATCATACAAGTGAGGCAGCCTTTGGAATGGATTAATGGCGATAAGAATACTTCCAGTATAGGTCTGCCATAATTTCAAAGCATGATATCATATAATGAAAGATCGCCCATAGCTGCACTAATTCATTGCTTAAGTAAACATATAACTTGAAGGTGAGAAGTATCTTACGTAGATTTCATTGAGTTGATATCTAGTCGCCAAATTTTGCAGTACTCCAGGCTCATGCAAATATGATAGCTTGGTCATGTCATCAACTCCACCAGCAGGAGCTTCTTCATCTTTCGGATATATTTTTGACCGACTTGCAACAAGCTGGCCAAGTGGATAAAATAAAATCCAAGTTACAAAATTAGCAGGGGAGTATGAGACTTACTGATATACCCTCAGTTTTGCAAGTGGATAAATGAAAGCCAAGTAACAAAATCAACAGAGACATGAATATTCGATTTATAAATACACCCCCCCAGCTTGCAAAGATACTCAATCTTTTTTTCTTGTCACAAGTTGCACTGGGACTCTATAATTCACATGTAAACCCAGATCTCTCTCTCTCTCTCCCTCTCTCTGTCTCTGTCTCTCTCTCTTACACACAACACAAAAGACAAGCATTCGAACTAGCCAAGGAGCTTCAAGTTTGGAATCCTTCAAAGTTAATGAACAAAAATAATAGCTTGAAACGTGATTTCTTAAGTCAACCCCACCACTTGGCTGGCTGAAACTGAATGTGATGGTGCATACATGGACAAACAGAATAGAGGGGCTTATGGAGTGGTTGTCCGCAATCATGATGGAACCGTGATAAATGGGGAAGCGAAAACAATGATAGGAGCATCAGCTTTAATTACAGAAGCAGAAGCTATGAGAGGGGCTTGAAGATTGGCCATGGAGGAGGGATTCGTGGATGTCATAGTGGAATCTGACTCAAAAATTTTTAATACTCTATCACAAAGGGGCTTGAGGTGATGATAGGTGAGATACAACAAATTCTGAGGGATATTTGGCGTTATGCTAGTCAGATCCCTACGATCAGATTTGAAAATGTTAGGTGATCAGCTAACATGGCTGCTTATATAGTCCCAACTCCCAACCAAGGCTCGAGGTTGAACACTACCATCTCAATGGCTCGGGGACATGCCTCTGCAACTAAGCACACTTATCTGTAAAGAGACTAGAGTGGGTATAGGCTAGTTAAGCTTTGTAAGCAGGTTGATAAGCCTGAAATATAGTTATGTTAATGAAAATTTCTTTTTCTAACCAAAAAAAAAAAAAGTCACCCTTTTTGTGGCTTCCTAGGAGGCTATCTAATCCAAAGATTCTTCTGTAGATTGATTAGATGCTTTACTGGGGACCACTTTTGGAATACATAGTTTTTTCGGCTCCGTAACCTCCATTCTAGCTTTTGGCTTCTTATAGATTTCGTGTATTACATAGTTTACACCCTTCTGATGTTTTTCAATGGATTTTGTTTACCTATGCAACATAAAGAAAAGGAAAAGAAAAAAAAATCTGAAAGATTTTCATATTAAAGACTAGTAATTCAAATGTTTATTCACTTGAATAGACTGTTAATTGACATAATATAAGCTCGCATACCGTCTTCCCATCAATAGTCTGAATCTCAACTTCCTCCCCATTTATCTTTGATACTTGTCCATCAGTCCATGCTATTGATGGGTCTTCAACCCAAACATAAGATCCGACACTGATATTAACTGGAGTGCCCTGCATTTGAAATTGAAAACTTGTCAGATGAAAAGGGAGGATTTGATATACATGCATAGATAGTCAAATATGTTAATGATGAGTAGGTTGATAGGAAGCTTAAAGAGGACTTTCCATAATTTAGCTCATAAAGTTTCCAAATTCAAAATCATTGCAAATTATAATCTATATATCTATATCCATCGACACAGTCCATATCTGGACTATGGTATATTTTAGGCTAATGTTGAATAATACCGAAATACTCACATGTCAAAAAATATTTCTATATTGAATCAATACCATCTGAATCAAAATCGTCAAAAAACCTTCAAAACATTCTATTTCAGTTCTATTTGGTTACAGACAAGGCTTTGTCCACTCAGTTTAGTTTCGGTATATCCAAATGTTTGTATGTGAGGCGTACTCTTGAGATCTGATGATAGGAGTACTCAACTAGATGCCTCTCTGAAGAATACAAATACCTTCTTTCTCTGTGAAACATAGCTGCCTCTCTAAAGTATCCTAAGAGGATTGTAGTGAAAAGCTTTCCATCAGTTTCTCATTCTCTCTCTCTCTCTCTCTCTCTCTCTCTCTCTCTCTCTCTCTCTCTCTCTCTCTCTCTCCCTCCCTCCCTCCCTCCCTCCCTCCCTCGATTACAGTTACTATAACCAGTGCCTTGATCTAGTGGTAACTTGGCCTCTAATGTAAATCGGGCACCAGGTTCAGAGCCCAACTGCTATTGCTGTCAAAAAATACAAAAAAAAACCATGAATCCTTTGCCATACACTGATGTAGAGAAGCTCAAGTTACGGTTATACACTGAAGAAGCAACATAACAAGCAAGAATCGAGCACAATGTCTTGAAAGTTGCTTGCCGCCATACTAATGCCAGATTTGGGTAAAGGTTCCAGATGCCATATTCTTGCTGCAGAGAGGCATACTACTACACTGGCCAGATGCTGCCATACTTCTACACTAGCCAGAACCTTTAAGACATTGACGAGTATTTGTACCACACATTACACATTTCTTAAAACCTTTTATACACTAAAGTGAGGCCTAAAACCAAACAATTCACATGTCATTACGATATAAACAATATGAAATACTTAAAGAGGGTACAGAAACATTAAAAAAAGTTTTTATTAATAAGGTTTTTGATCATATGTCGTGGGAAATTGAATTTCCAAACAAGGACGAATTTATCAAAAACAGAGATATGTTTACCCGCATTAATGGTGAGATAATGCAGTTTTCAATTTGAAAGATCAGCTGTCTAACAGCACCAAGAACTCACTTACCATATTTAGTTCGCACCAGAAACTCAACTACATCGAATTCCTTCTTCTTCTGCGAATCTTGAAAGCCACAATCACTCAAATTTGCACAAAATATGCCAAGATTGTAAAGACTATGATATGAAATCCCCGAAAAAGATTTTCGGTTGAATGCCGGAACTGCTACACAAACGATATCAAGATTGTAAAAACGATAATAAAGAATATCGGGTATTCTGCTTAAAAGATTTTCGGTTGAATGTTGGGAATTGTTAAACAAATTTGCACAGAACATATCAAGATTGTGAAACAATGATAACAAATCTTGGTTATTCTCCGGTAAAGATTTCCGGCTGAATGATGGTAATCCACCGGATGGTGTACGGACGGCGAGATTGATAGGCGACAGTGATGTGTTGAAGTGACCGTTGATCACTGTTGATGTCGATCTCCGTGTGATGTGGTGTAGAGCTGGACTGGTTTGTGGAGGTGACATTCTGAGAGAACCCTAGGAAATCGGAGTCGTTGAATTTCTCTCAGAACTTCGCCGCTTTGTTTGAGCTTCTTGTGGCTCTCTTCAATCTCTTTCTTTGGCAGACGTTTTTGGCGCGGAGAGAGACAGAGAGAGAGAGGGGAGGGGGCGTTTGGTTGAGCGCTTTTTTAATTAACGCGTTAACGGTGTTTATAAAGAAAAAACTTATGCGGTGTTTTTTTTTTTTTTTTGTTAAAATACACTTTTAGTCCCTATTTGATCTCAATCTTCTAATTGCGGCTATTTAGTCCCTTAAGGCTCTTAGTTTATATTTAAGTGGTCCAATTCTAAATGTTTGTCAAAAAATCGTGACGGTTTTGGTCACGTGTCAATCATGTAGTTTCTAATTTTATGCTTATTTGATTCTAAAATTCCTAATTTGTGTTTATTTAGTTCTTAAATTTTTTTAATTTTTGCATACTTGGTCTTACATGATTGGCACATGATCAAAAAAACTAACGATTTTTTAACAGACATTTGAAATTGGACTACATAAATATAAATTAGAAAACTTAGGAACCAAATATACACAACTAAAAAATTGGGAACCAAATAGATGCTACACGCGTACTTTAAAGACTAAAAATGTATAATCCAAATTATAGCCTCTCGACTAGTAACTCAAAAAATTATAATCTAAATTAAAGTCCGTTGACTAGTAAAGGATTATGAACAACTTGCACTAACCGTAACACAGTAAGAATTTTATTTATCATTCACTTTTTAGCTGAGAAATAAAGATTTTCTTAGAGCCTAGAAGAATAAAAGTACAATTTGATTGAATCCACATAAATTGAGGTTTAGATTTTATAATTGTTTCGATTTATAACGAGTGTTAAATAAAAAAAAGATAGTTTGTCGGCCTATAACATTGACTAAGATGTTGAGTATGATTTGCTCACTAATTCGTTGTCCTCATTCCTTTCTTTGTTAGGTGTATATGATTTTTTTTTTTGTTTTTTTACAATATGTTCAGATTTGCATCGATTATTTTATCAACCTCAAATACCGATTACCGTAATCCTGAACGATTTAGAATATCTATCTAGTGGCTGACCCTTAAGAAATACTAGAAGTGTTGAACTTGAGACCTTTTAATTACCAAATATTAGATTTAGCCACCGAATCACCTCTGCGAGTTTGTATGCATTGCTCTTGCTCTATTTTGTGTACGACTGCAAGCTAATCCCTTTGATTATATTTAACTATTCGATGAAATTAGGAGATTAAAAAAAATGAAAGGAGGAATTGAAGAATAAGAAAATATTATTTTTTTTATATATGTAGATGGGAAAAATTATCATTTTTTCTACGTTATAGAAGTTATATTTTCTCTACTTTTACGGTAAGTTACGTTACTCATTATAATCACCACACAGTAACAAAGATTTATGACTCCTATGAAAAGATTCTGAAGTAGACAAAAGATAGGTCCTTATTGATGGAATTATGAGGCTCTTAATAGTGCACGTTACTCCTTTCGGAAAGGAACCTAACTAGGCTAGCATATCTCGGAGTCGAAAATTTTGGTTGATAGCTCACTGAACCATTTAAATTCCTTTTTTTCAAAGACCAAAAACGAAAAAGAATTGTAACTTTTGAAGTATAGTGTCTGGGGCCGAGCGGGGTTGGTGGGCCTGGAACCAATAATATGGGCCTTTTGCCCATTTTATAGCTCTAGCCCGGACAACCGGACCCTAGTTGTCCCCCCAAAAGCTAGCACATATACATTTATGGGCTGTTTGGTACAATTGAAAATGGGTTTCCTAGAAATTCGTAGACTATAAGGCACTTATGGTCCGTTCGGTATGAAAAATTAAAAGAATGAAGGAAGAAAAAATGAAAAGAATAAATTTTCTATTCATGAAGGAAAGAAAATTATTTTCCTTCCTTTTTGTTTGATAGAAGGGATGAAAAATAGAAAAAATATATTTTCAATCGTTTGGTATTAGATGAAAACTGAAAGAAAAGAAAAAACATGTATACCCAATTTACAATTCTACTCTTAAATATATTGAGTGAATTTTTTGTTACAAATCAATCCAATTAATTTGAAAAAGCTTTTAATTCCCTTATTTTTGTTATGAATTAATTTTGGAGGAAATACAACAGTAAATTTATCTCTTAATGCTCGACAAAAAATGTGTGAACTGGGAATGAAATGTATCCAATAAGTAAAGGGTAAAAAGGCCAACATAAAAAATTATTGTCTTACCTTCACTTTTTCCCTCTACTTTCCTCCAAAATTTGAGTTGAAAATATTTGGTGGGTTGGAAGGATAGAGATTCTCTTTCACTTTCCACTCCTCTTACTTTCCTTTAGTACCAAACAATAGAAATATCTTCCTTCCCGTCCATTTTTCCTCTCTCACTTTCTTTCCACCCATTTTTCCACTGTACCAAACATACTATTATTTGTGAAAAAATTCACTTTTTAAAATATTTTGAGCAAAATTCCTAATAAAATAATCTATTACATCCTTTTATGCACACTTTTGTGTAAAGAAATGGAAAAATGAAATCGTTGGAATTCAAACAACCATCGTCACATTTCCACAATTAATGGACAAATATTACAAGATTTAAGGGAATGGTCTCTCGTAAAAATTTGAAATTCAAAATATTGTCTCCACCGATTTTATAATCTCGAAAAAGCGGGTTTTGAAGAAACCTGTTATTATCCTACAACAATAAAACTAGGGTTTCAACAAAACGTTTGTCATCGGCGACATTATTGGTGCATCAACGGTCAATAATTTTTTTTTTTAATAAAAGACCCAAATTTTATGAGATAAAAGACATGAAATCTACCAACAAAATCACCAATAATTTGTTTCGTTTAATTCTTCTAACTACTAACTACTGTTATTATGCATCTTAATGTTGCATATATGTTGTTCAATTTCTGAAGTCACATTACTTAGTAACTCTTTGTATCAACAGTTTTCATACCCAAAACAAAATGTCCTGCTTTACACAGTGTCACATCAATTCTAGTTAGCCTGGACACTACTCTAATCGTCACACTGTGACAAACAATGTGTTACAACATTGTTTGATTACATGCACATAAATGGTTTGCATTTTACAAGGTGTGACAAGGTTGTCTTATTTTTTTGGAACACACAATAAAAATTATTCTCCCATTATCACAACAAATCGTCACATAAATTGAAATGGGATTGGACACTATTTTGCATGTAGGAGTTTGACAACAAGGTGTGACATCATTGTTTCATTGATTGGACACATAGAATACATTGCTGCACACAGTGTGACATCGATTCAATGACATTTTAACCAATAATTGAATTTTTATAATTTGACAACAAAGTGTGACAAGCATTTCTTGATCCCTTGAAGACCAATCACAATGTCTTTCAATAAAAACTAAGTTAAAATAAACATTAATCATAATGTTAATAATCTTTACGCATAAAATTGTTTATGACTTAGATAGAATTGAGCCATATCGTGGAACAATCAAAAAATAGTTTTTACCTTCAATTTCAATCATAAATGAACCTACAATAGAAAATTTTATAGGGACAATTGGAATAAATAAGATTCATGGTATTCTTCTTCCTAATATTGATTGCCGAGAATTTGAACAGAAAATAGATTCATTGATAAAAAAACATTCTCCGCAGAAAATTTTCATTTCTTAAGTTTAATTACTAAATTTGCTAGAGAATCAAGATCAAGTTTCAATCAAAAAAGATTTTCTTTCCTTTCAAAACAAAAACAAGGACGAATTGATTTCGAAAATAGAACAAAATTTTTAAATTTTTATTCAATGCAATTATAATTGATCCTAATGATCAAAAAATTAGAAAAACTCTATTAGAATAAAAGAAATTAGTAAAAAAATTTTTCTATGGTCGTACAAATTAATAACAAATTTAGAACAATAGTACAGAGAAGAAGAAGATATACGTTCAAAATTCAAATGTACTGATCTATTAAAATAAGAAACCATTGATATAATAATAAAATAAAATCACATAAAAAAGGTATCTCTCTACATAAACTATCCATAAATTATGGAAAAAAGGTATTTAGCCAAAAAAATTTTAAAAACGGTCAATTTATATCGAGACAAAACACATTTACAATTAGTAAGACTAGTTAACAACAAATGATTTTACACGCAGTACTGTCACAAATAAGTAGTTTATGGGGTAACTCTTCACAATTTTTCCATGAAAAAATGGGTGGATGAAAAATAGAATAGAAAATAAAGTTTTCATTTAATAGGTTAGAGAAGGAAAACATAAGGGAAAGAAAAGGGGACGGAATGCCAATCAATTTTCACCCGTCATTTTTTTTTTTCGTAACAAATAAAATAATAGAAATTTTAATTCTCATATTTTTCTATTCATTCTACCAAAAGAAGGAGGGAAAGTAAATCCTTCCCTTAGGATAGAAAATATATTCTTCTTTGTTTTCCATCCATTATATTTCTCATTTCTCCTACCAAACATAAATTTAAATGA